ACACTTTATTTGAAATACTAAATACGCAATGATTTATGTAATATAGAAGTATGTATATACGCTTGCATAACGTATGTGTGTTTATGTATATGTAATATAAAAAATGAGTGAATGAATGCTAAATCCTGACAGGATTTTGTAAAAGTGTATATAGATATGTACTACGTCATTATGAGTACAAAAATAAAATCGAAATTTTTACGGATTTTTGTTAAAAATTTTTTTTTTTTAAATAAAATGATAAAATAAAACAGCACTCTAAAATTATAACAGTATCATATAATTACATACTACTTCATTTAAATATATATGTATATATACATAAGTCTATATACGTACTCATATAAATTTTTACTGTATAGATATTTTGTGAACATGTAATGAATTTTAAAGGTTGAATTTCCTTTTTAGTGATTTATAACGGTAATGATGTAAAATTTGTAAAGGATTTTATGGAATTGTGTACATATGTAAATGAAATAATTTTTATAGATATAAATGTATGTGAATATTAAAAATAATTACATACATATATATATGTACTTGTATGAAAACCATTAAAAAATATTTTTCATATACAAAAATAAAAAAATAAAAAATTAAAAAAAATATATATGTACATATAAAATTCTAACAACCCTCAATAATTTGAAACATTTATACTTTATATGTTCAATTTAACTATGCTCTGGCGTTAATAAAATTCTTTTCTCAAGTGTATAACATAAATTAAGCAGTGATAGAAAACCATAAAATTTCATATTATTTAAAATATTCGCATATCCATGTGGACCATGGAATCGTAGTTGATCAGGATGAAATTTTAATCACATACCATTTATTCGTTCAATTTTACATATATATATATATATATATATATAAAGTTATTGTATTTATGAAATAGTAATGCAGCTGTTCCATGCTAATGTATAAAATGTGAAATGGTGTTATCACGTGTCAATAACTCGACTATTTCATATTTTCCGATTACTCGTTTCTATTAACTTCTTATGAATTAAATAAAAATTTTTGATTTTTGTTGTGAGATTTGAAGGAGAAGAAGAAGAATTTTGATTTTCTTTTATTGAGAGAGAAATTTAATCTTATATTATAAAATAAAAATTAATAATAGAATTTCAATTGAAAATTTTGAATTTTTCTTAGGATTTGTACAAAAATGCTCTATTCACATATATACATACATTGCTTTTAATATGTTTTTGTTTTCTGATATCAAATGAATATATAAAATGCTTTCAATTGAACCACAATATACAATGAACTTTTGGTTAAACGCATAATTGAATTGATTAAGCGCACAGTTATTTACACAAAATTACCAGAAAACTTGTGCAATCTAATTCTCAAAAATATTAGCACTTCTTGACTTCGTTATATAATATGAAACTTCATAATTTTTGTAAAATTAAACATTTTTTTGATTATCTTAAAAAAGGTTTACTATTACTGTTATATTAAATATGTATGTATATGTAGGTATATTTTGCAAAATCATACAGATGAACAGGAAACATAATATATAAAATATTATTATGGAAGAATGTATACAGTTGAATATAAAATATTTTTGGGAGAAAACATAAAAAGTAAATTAGGAAATAAAAGACCGCCTCAACTCAGCAGTAGTTAAGGTATTTATAATGTTCCCAATATATGGTTGATTGTTGAAAAATAAAATGTCATAATTATATACAAAATTCTTTTTATGTAATATTCATTTAATAAAATTAAATTTATACTTATGTAATTTATGCTTGGATTAATATTTTTTTATTTTTATTATTTCCAGCTAGCTATATTATTAATAAAAAGGAATTATTATGAAGCTAATTTGTTTTTAAATTGGTAGTAACAATTTTATGTTTCTTTCTTATTCCTTGAATCTTATAAAGTTAAGCATTTTTAAACAATTATATATTTATGCTTTATTTTAATAGTTTATAGTATGTAGTATAATTCTCATCTGATAAAAAGAAAAATTCATACGCCGCCTAAAAGTATGCTAATTTAATCAAATGTAATATTAATTTCAATTTTCATTTTTAAAAATTTTAGAAGCAAATTTGTTAGGTATAATATCAAAATTTTGTAACAACTGAAATTTTCTTACCCTGAGATATTAGTGCAAGAGTTAATAAGAGTTATTTTCTTCATTTCAAGGGAAAACAAAATCAACTTTAAATCAAATTTTGCAGTATGTATAGTGTTGCTAGTGACAGAAAGTTCATGAAGAATACTGTCGGTATAAGTTTATAATAATATATGTGTATATTGTGTATATCGCAATACATGTTATTATTTTTCTTTTTTTGAATTTTACATTTTACCAATTACCTTCTTCATAAATATCATTATTCCCTACATGTTATTAATAATTCAAACTGTTTATTATATTCTTTAAAAAATTCTCATGAATTTTTTTTTTATCAAATCAACAAACTTAAACATAATGTATGTATATAATATATTATATTATAGGCGATTTCTAAATTCCAGATAAAAATTATGTTTTTTTTTTGCATTAAATGAGGTATGATATTTATTTAATATAATATGTATGCATGTATGCTTGTATATAAGCGCTGTTCTGTTTCACAATATGTACATGCTATGTATGTACAATAAATAGAAAAATATTTGAAGAAGATTAACGATAATTTGCTTCTATTAGATAAAATTTATGATGTAAACACGTAGGTATGTAACGAGAAAATTATTTCCTAATTTTCATCTGTTTTTCAATAAATTTATGTACCAATTTATTTCTGAAGATGAAAGAGTTTGTTTACCATACCAAGCGAATTATAATTAAATTAATAATAATGGTGTTATGGAATACAATTTGAATTCTTTTTATAAAATTTAAATTGCGTAGAGAAGAGTTGAGGTTATTATAGATTATTTTAATTACCTGGAGAGTTTTATGGTAATTGGGTTTATTCAGTTTTCGCTGCGTTCAGCATTATTTGAAGATGAATGTGTATGCGCAACAAAATTATCAAAATTTAATTGACTTTTGTATTCATTTTTTAGGTTGAATGCTGAAAATATTTCAATGAAACCCCAAATTTTTAGTGCATGTACTCTGAAGTTTGCGTATTCACTCCCGACATTTTTAAATTTTTTATAAAATAAATAAAGCTTTTTGTCTATAAATGATTGCGATCGTTCATAATGTTGTAACAATGATCTTCTATAATAAACTTACAAAATTTATAATGAATTTTATTTGTTTTGATAAGCAAGAAAGTAACTGTAAAGTTTATTTTGTTCTCTAAACAAAGAAGAATTTTAAAAAGCTTTTCCCGCTACTACATTTTCTCTTTTTTTTTATATAGTATTTTTTTTTTATTTACACTAAGCTTTTTATATTTTGGTAAATTAACACTGTTTAGTACTTACATATTATCATTATTATTATTTATTATGTATCTCTTTATGTACAAAACTTAATGATGGGTATATAAAAAATGTACACAGATATAAGTATTACCGTTTAGGTATAAATATAGAAGAGTAGTTTAAATTTGAGTAGATCATATATTTTCAATTTAAAGTTGAGTAGATCTTATTATATTTTGTTTGCTATTCTCTGTAAATAAATTGTATTGATTTTTTGCTATTCTATGAAATTTTCATTTTAAAACTTTTATAAATTGTAAATTGTCAAAAAAATTGTTATACAATACTTAAGTACTTTAACTATTCTTTAGCCACTATAATATTTTCTTGAAAAAATCGAAATCAGACTTTTCCACTTAAATGCATTAATGACAATTAAATTGTTGGAATGTTTGAAAATGGCTGGAACCAATCTACACTGTAGACTCTAAGAGAGTATAACAGATAAGACTCTATGATGTATAACAGATTAAATTGAATTTGGCATAACTCATTAATTTTGTTTAAAATATTTGATCGACTTGTTTTAATAGAGAAATTTGTATAACTTGATTTTGCATGAAAACAAATTAATTTTTCTTATTATACAAGAGTGGAACCGAGTTGAATATGTAGCATTTTGTAATATATTCATAAATTTTTTAATTCTTAATTTAAGCTTAGTACAATTTTGAATTAAATTCTTTAATTCTACTCTAATATATTTTACTCAAAACTACACTGTTTTTCAATTTAAATAGTGAAAATTCTAAATATCAGATAGGTACATCCCATACATATATAGTTATATTTATTTATATCTATATATTTGTATGTATTACATATTTATTATAATACATACAAACGCACATTTGTTAACATATATATATTTTATTTTATTGATATGAAAATACTAAATTTATATGAGATTCTAAATCTTAAAAAAAAAAAAATTGTGATTACGATTTCCCAGATTTCTATCTATTTCATTTAGAAGAAAAAAAAAATCTTATTTAGTCGCTAATAAAACGTTCAAATGTGCGGTAATCGAGTAGCTTATAATGAACTTGACAAAAATGGAAAAAAAATATAAAAAAAAAATTTGAAAAGCTTAAAAAATCTGCCCGATAAAATTTTTTGAATATATGTATGTCGCGACATATGAGTTAAGAAAGTTAAATGGAACAACTAATAAATAAGCAACCAAAAAACGAAAAAATTAAAAAAATTAAAAAAGAAAATAAATAATAAAAATTTTTAATAAAGAAGTGAACATATAAAAAAAAAATTATTCAATAATATTAATTCATACATACAAACAAATACACAAACACCTTAAGGTTTTATGTAGAAATTTGAATGTACACGCATCTATAAAATATTTTTGTCAAATTTTAAGAATAAATTGTCTTGATTATATTATTGACAAATAAAAATAAAAAAGTTTTCTTATTGGGACCATAAATAATTATAAATAGCGGGGCTTTTTATAAAAAGTTCATTCGTTTCTGCTAAAAATAATTTTTTTGACTGAAGATCCGAGAATGAAATGAACTTTTAATTTTAATTTGTGAATTGTGTTTAAAAAGTGCTTTTCGTTGTTATTTTTCCATTTATGTTTGTACATTTTACAAATATAAAATTTTCACCTTATTATTTTGTTGATAAAAATCTTTCTATCTACAAATTATGTAATATTAAGTGGAAATTTTTTAAAAAAATTTAAAGAAATTTATAAAAGTAAAAAATTTGAGAGAAAATTTTATTTGAAGAAAAAAAAAATTTGTTATGAAAAAGAAAATTTAAGAAAAATTTTGCAAATATTTGGAAAATATTTAAAAGTATATTTTCTGCAATACAATTAACAAAATTTTACCAAGAAGTAAATATGACACTTTAGATCAACGTAAGTTTTCATACCTTTTACATTACAAAAAATAAATACATTCATGTAATTTTTTTCATATACACAGTTTTTTAATATAATTAGACAGGAATATTATAGTATTCATTTGCACATTGGAAATTGAGAAATTATTTGTAAGTTACGGAGTGAATTACGATCGTTCATATAGGTAGTGTTTTGATAGTTTACATTGTTTTCATTTAAAGTTATTATAAATTATATTTATACATATAGCTGGCAAATAAATTCAGGGATGATCAATTTCCAGCAAAAAATTGTATTAGTGGGGAAGAAGAGTGCAACTATTTTCGTTTCCGAGCTACAGCCTGTTATACGGAACTATGCGACCTAGACTAACCATCGGTAGGATGTTTTTTAGAAGATTGATTGCTCTTTAGTTTTGGTCTTCAATAAATTTGATTTGAGCCATAGTTTTCGACATAAAACTCGGGAAATTAAGATTTTTTGTTTTATTTTTTGAAATTTTTTTTGCTTTAATTCGAAGTTTCTCCAAAATTTGTGTTTTTTTTTCTTCTAATTTTTGTTTTTTTTTTTTCGATGCGCCTTAATCAATAATAAGAGCTCAAAGGTTACCTATAAAATACTTTTCTCTATCTCTAATGGTTTGGCCAATAAAACGTGAAAGAAAAAGAATTTCTAGGAAAGTATAGTTGATTGACTCATTTACATGATTTATGACTGTTCATAATTTACATAGGTAAGTTATAACACATCGAAGACCTTATTTGTCTACATATATTTCATATTACTATCAAGCGAGGTTTACGGCAAAAAAAAAGTATGCAAATATTTATAAATACCCAGACTTTTTACAATTAATTTTAATGTTGAGTCATCTTTTATATTATTGAATATTATAACTACTAAAATTTTTTGTTTTGTACACATTTTTCGACAAGAAAATTAATTGGCCTCTATTTTTTTTTGCAAAATTTCTAATTATAGCGCGTACTAATTTGATGTTTATAATGAAATAACAAAAAAAAAAACAAATTGAATAAATTAATTTTGTACAACAAACACACATACTCATTATAATATATTTAATATATCGACGAATTGTACAAACAAGTACATATTTTTCTGTTCAAATTTGTAAAATATTTCGTTTACCTAAATAAAAAATGTCGAAAAGAGCTGACTTTGAAGTAAACAATAGCTGAAATTAATTCTTAAATTTTATGTGTTTTATTTTTCTAAAAATTTTTATTAATATGTAGATAATTATTAACCATATGTACATATATATAATATGTATGTATAAATCGAAGTTGTTATAATTTTAAATGAAAATTTTAATTTTATTTTTTATATTTTAAGCAAAAACAAATACTGAATCTACTGAATTATTATTTACTCATAAACTCGGTATATTTGTTACCAACTGGATTCGAATAAAATAAAGTCTATAATTATTATATTAAATGATTGAAGGCTTTTATTTTCCTAGAATATAACAATGAGTCGCATCACAAATTTGAAACTTCAATTGTCACAGTTGTACTTTAATTTTTGTTAATATTTCTACGGGAACAATATGGAAAGGGATACTTCACCTAAATTGATGCAGTTTTTACATTATAGAAGACGAAAGTCATTAAAACTCTTGTTCAAAATTACAAAACCAATAAGTATTTTATGTAAATAAATAAATTTATTTTTATTTAGAAGCTAAAATGAAAAAAAAACTGCAATGGGAAAGTGAGTCATGAAAAGAACATAAGTATCTGAATCGATCATTAAGTTGCGATGCCTGTTAGTTTTGTTCAACAAACAATACACTATATATAAGGCTTCAATGTTTATTTGCATAGTTCCGAATTCTTTGACGCTATATTTCGCTTAGGAACTATAATATAAATTGTAGCTTATTATTTCTTATTATTTTTGTATTGAAACAAAAAATACATGATAGCCGGCATACAACCGTATAAAAGTTAATAATGTGTTCGAAAATTTCATTGCATGCTATACTTACCTTTGATATTTTTAAAGTAATATACAATTTAAAATAGATTCATCATGCAATTTAATATCATTATGATTGAAAAAGAATTAGGTACAATTATTAAGACATTAGATTTTAAAATGTCAATTTATTATATTTGCATTATTTAAAATTTTTGTCATTCATATGGCGTGTCTCCGTTAAATTTAATTATTTTATTACATTTACTTATGTGATTCTAGAAATAATGACATAACTATAAATTTTTTGTTGTGAAGAAAATAAGGCTTTGACAAAACATGTAACAATGAAATTATTATTTGTTATCTATATAAATTTAACGCACGCAACATAGCGCTTTATTAATTTTCTGAAACCAAAGGACTTCTTGTTAGAATCATAAAACTTTAATTTGTCAAAAATAACAACCTTTCAATAAATTTTTTTATTAAAACTTGATTGAGGAAAGCAATAATATTTGACTATTTTGATATTGGTGTTTATTCAAAATTGCTATTTCTAAAAACATGTTAAAAAATTTTCAATCAAATCGTTACAAAACCCATTTTCCAATACTTGCTTTTTTGAGGAGATTAAAAGGAAAGAATTTCTAAAACATAAAAAGGCAAACTTATAAAAATCAGGCTGCAAAATTCCTTCTTTTTCTAATTAATCAAAATGTTATTTAACTGATTTATTTTTTAACCTCTTCAATTACCTTTAAAAATAAAATTCATGTTATTTTCGATGAAAAGTTAATTACATAGTAAAATTTAATATCAATAAATTCTAAGTAATAAAAATCAATTCAAATTAAAAAAATTGGGCAAAAAAAAAATTTATTTTATTCAAATAAAATTCTTTAGAAAACAACGTCAAATTTTTAATTGATTTTGAATAAATTTGGGTTTTTAAATCCTTAATTCTTTTAAAATATTAAAAAAAAAACCGGTTTTAAAACCATCTTTTTAATTAGAATTTATCGAAAGATATTATTATTTTTATTAAGAATTGACTGAGAACATAAAGAATTAAATGAAATAAAAAAGTCAATCAAAATGTTCTTTGTTATACACAAAGCCCTCGATTTTACACATACAATAATAAAGTTGCTCTGTCAATACTTTCGAAACTTTCATTTTTAAAGTCTAATTACATCTTCATTAATATTTATAAGAAAAAAAGCATTACCATAAAAAAAATGTGGGTAATTATTTTACACTTAAAATTCTACATATTTTGATGTAAGGAACCCACAATTGTGCAAGAATTTAGTATTTACACAATATGTACGTATTAAATTCCAAACGGTTTGAAATGACGTATTTAAAGCTATGTGTATATAAAAATATCTTTGTTTCGAACAATTTGGTTTAAAGCGCACAGAAGTGCACAAATAAACAAAAAAAATTTTTTTTTTGTTTTTAGCACATTATACGTTCAACATATGTTATACCTTTAGTACATGTCCGTCCGTCTTACTGTTCATTCACAAAACTTCAAAATTCATTTATAATAGCAAATTTTAAATTTTCAAATAAGAACAATTATTTTTCTTAAATTAAATTTTTACCTGTTCCCTTTTCTCTTCATGCTTTAGACGTTTAAAGTAATGAAAACGCAATTTTTTGGAAGGCTGTTGCGAATAAAACAAATTTTATTTTAGAATTAGGCAACCACAAATGAAGAAAATAAAAGTCAAATTAACTGTGATCTTAACTCGGTATTTCGATTTTTCAGAAGCAGTTTTTCTTCTATACACAGCATTTTGTTAACAATTTGTTTAAATTAATATAAATAATTTAATACATTAAAATAATATTTCTTTCATATTCTATCCCCTTCTGAGTTATGAACCCACAAAATTTGAAAAATAATTAATTTTTAATAAATTTTATCTTCGAAACTTTACAAACATCGTTGATTTTCTATTAAAGGCAAAAACAACCATCGCCTGCTTTTACAACTCGTTTTTATATTGCTGCTTCAAATTTCCTCCTAAATATATGCTACATAAATTGGTAATAAGAAAAATTCGCTTAATAATATAATTGATGTTTCGGTTTATAGAACTAAATTAGTTTTTGACTTAGATGCTTAGATTCTTCGAGAAAAAATGTGCTATTTTTCATTCACAAACGACTGTATTTTATTCACAATACAAAAAGAAATTATTTTATTGTTATTGGAATCTAAGCATTAATTTTTATTCAAATTAAAACTGGAAATTTTTACAAATACTCTTAAAAAAATTTATTTCTATAACAATAGCTAATTATATTGTTCAGCGTTATAAATCAAAAATTAATTTCTTGAAAAACATGTTCAATTTCGACAGCGTTCGAAAAAAAAATAAAATAAAAATTTGATAAATTATTTTGATTTAATTTTTTTTTTTAAATAACAGGAAATTTTCTATTTATTTAAATTTAAAAAAATTCTTTACCTCAACTATTCTCTCTTTATTTTACATTTAAAAATATCTTTAAAAGAAATCAGATTATTACATGAAAATCTCATTGAACTCATAGAAAAATATCAATAAAAAGTTCTATAGAAATTTTTTTTTGTTTATTTTGAAAAACAATTTTTTCTTTTATTTTCGTTTGGTGACCTTTTTCTAAATATAGATATTGCAAAAGTCTTGATCGTTGTCAAAATGTTGCTCTTCTATAAAGTTAAAAATTAAAAACTTGTACATACAAACACACGTACCTATAATGTTCAATGTAAATTTACTCACATGTGTGTTTGTTTTGTAACATTCTGTATTTGCTACAAATTCGTTAATTCTTCTGCTCTTAAATAAGGTGATTTTTTTATTATACCCTGCACTTCGTGAAGGGTATATTAACTTTGGTATGGAGTTTGTAACTACTTGAAGGAGTCATCTGGGGTATGGACATATATATATATTCTTGCTCAGCGTAAAATTCTGCGTTGATTTAGACATGTCCGTCCGTCCGTCCGTCCGTCCGTCCGTCCGTCCGTCCGTCCGTCCGTCCGTCCGTCCGTCCGTCCGTCCGTCCGT